TTTTTCCTTGGCTCTTCTTTCTTCTTTCTATGATGTTGTCGATATTTAGGTTTATGAGAACGAGTGAAGGGTGCCAGTTTCGTGGTATTAACTGCTTAATGCTTATGCCTTCTACATTCTCCCCTTTTCAGAAGGATATGAGAAGTTAGCCCGGGCAAAAGAAGGTCCATCAAATCAACATTTGGCTAGTGGAGAAGCCTCTAGCACTGGTGAAGGTGATTATGATATGTTTGCTGACGAGGATGATAACAGTAAGCCATCTACAGATGAAAATAATACAGTTAGTCAATCTTCATCGGACGCCATAAATTCTGGCACTGAGGGTAGGTAAATTGGCCTCCAAAGTCTTTGTTACTGATTTTTATTTGATTAGTATTTACTTAACATTGTTCTACTTTTCTTTCAGGTGGAGCATTGCAAAATGATTATGTGTATGATGAATCTTCTGGGTATGGCTCTTCTCTTCCATGTAAATTTTGGGAAATAGTCTGATATACATGACATTATTTATCTTTGTTGTAAATTTCAAAACCAAAAAAAAAATCATTATGGTATTAAGGAGGTGGCAAAAGTTGAGGGTTTGTACCCACTTCTTCTTCTAATGAATTCTGTTACCAAAAAGAGCTGTTATAAGCTTGTTCTGACATCAATATTTGATGGTCCAGGTACTATTATAGCAGCAGTTTGGACTATTATTATGATCCAAATACCGGGCTTTATTGCTCTGCAGCATCAGGACAATGGTACAGCACATTCCTTTATCATCTTTTCGTGTGGTTTGTCAATTTTTTTGCTGACATCTTTTACCCTTTGTTTACAGTAAGTGGTGCCAAACATAGATGTGGATTTGGATGTGTCTTTAGTTGTTTGTTAAAATTTAATCTTGATTTGTGATATTTTTTGTTGGAAACTATATCAAGAGATGTGATATGTGTACGTCAATTTATAGATCTTTGGTGGCATAAAAACATGCAGGGTGATTAGTTGTATAATTAACACCTTTGGCTGAGAGGAGGGAAATAATATTGTATGTTTGTTGGGAGAGGCAAAGAGAAGAAATGGTTTCAAAAAACGGTTGAACTTATTTTACTATTTCTTATTTATTTCTACTCATCTCTTAACCCATCTCTTATCTATGGTGGGAGATGCAAATCATGTTTCTAGCTGACTGGGGCCGCTCCTTTTTTATTTGAATTCAGGTACCGATTCAGGTACCGAACGGTTAAAGCAGCAAGGTAAAGACCGAAGGCTATTTATCCACCAAAACCGAATGCTAAAGATCTACACTTAATAGTATCAACTTAAGGCCGAACGTTCAAAATCAAACTTTTGAATATCAATTTAACAACGATCGCTCAAAATAATAATACATCCAGACGAACGCTCTAGATCACCATTAGAAAGTATCTAATTAAAACCGAACACTACCATCACTAGTACATCAAAACCGACCGTTTAGTATCCAAGCCTCAGATTACTATCGAACGCTCATGATTGAAACCTTAGGATTCTACGCGAAGACCGAACGCTCAGAATTGAAACCTGAGAATAAAAATTTAAGAACTAACACTCAAGATTGAAACCTAAAAAAATACCAAATTGAGAACGAACGCTCACATCACAATTAAACCAAAACCGAACGCCCAAGATCCAAACCTAAGAATCCAAATTAAGACTGAACGCTAATTAATCACTAGCACATACAAGGACGAACGTTGAAGCTCTTACCTGAGAATACAAGACCGAACGCTCAACATGCAAACTTAAGTTGGGTCGGACGAAAGGAGGTGGGACGAAGCGAGACCTTGAACGCGCCCCTACTTCGCTGGGCCGGACAGAACACGATTCCGTCTTCGCTTCGTTGGCCAACATCGGAGCTGCGGCGGCCGTGAATCGGTAACGGCCATCAATCGGTACCGGCGACCGTGAATCGGTACCCTTCAACGTTGTTCGGCGGGCACTCCGGCAAGCACTCCGTCGGACCACTCCCTTTCTCCAACTCTCTCGGCCTCTCTCTCTAGGTCACAGTCTCCCTCTCAACCTTCGCGCTTCTCTCTCTACAATTCTTCCAAAATCAATTTCAAATTTGAAACGCAGATCTTGAAAACCCTGCCCACCCCCCTTTCCACGTCAGATTTCATTTTCATTTTGATTTTCCACGTGGACCAATCTCATTTAGACACCTGTCCCGTGTCTAAATGTTGTCAAAAGAGGTTGTTCAAGTATCATTATCCTTCTTTTAACACCTTGCAAATGAATTTACTAAGTGATCATACTCTAAATTCAATATGTGGCCTTGTTGTAGTAAAAAATATGAGACTTCCATCAAACTTTTGTAATAGGTTGAATCTACTCTCTTGTCATCAATTTCTCTTGTTAGCTTCAATTTTTTTTCAACTTGTGTGGAGATTAACTTTAAATTCTCCATCATAAACTTCTTAAGAATATCACTAGCATTTTTTTTATATGAAAATTCCATCATTTTGTTGAATAACCTCAATGCCCAAAAAATGATACATTATGCCCAAATATGTTATTTCAAAATGTCTTATCATAGTCTCCTTGAACTCTTCAATCATCTTGGGATTGTTGCCAATAAATATTAAATCATCAATACAAAGGCACATAATAAGAGTATCTCATGACTCAATTTAATGTATAAGGTATATTCAAATGGATTCCTGAAATCCATTTAGCACAAGTTATAAATCAATTTTCTTATAAGCCTTTGTTGTTTGCTTCAAACCACAAAATGTTTTTTTTTTAATTTGTAGACTTTATCTTCTTTACCCTCGATCACATGATCTTTAGATGGTTCAACATATACTTCTCTCTCCAAAGTACCACTTAATAAAGCAGACTTGACATCCATCAAAAATGTTCATTTAGTATTCACCATAGATTTTACATGTGAATATTTATGGGTATAATTTTTTTTGTCACCCCTAAACTCAATCAAGATTAGTTACTTGTCATGGGATTTATATTATAGACTTAATATTTTTTTTAAGTTCTAATTGACTTGTTAACCTGCTTAAAATTCTATTTAGTAAAAAAAAAACCCTTTAGATGGGTATAAAAAAAAGTTTATTTAAAATAAAATATAAACTATGGAAATTGAAATTCCTAGACTCTCAAAGACATTAAATAGAGGTAGTTCAACTTGATAATAGTTGAATCCTTTACTTGTTTGCATGACATACTTATTTTCAAGGTTCAATTATAACTTTTACGATATTTTTCCTTTTTCCAATTAGATTTGTAAATATGACATTACTTTATTTTGTATCTGATCTCAAAAATGATTGAACAGTGTTTTGAACAATAAAAAAAAAATATATATATATATATATATANTCTTATACACATATTAGAAATATAATATAATATAATATAATATGTAACCTTTATATGAGCTACATAAAATAGAAATAAAAGAAAGAAAAATACGTAAACTTTCTAATCATCCATGAACAAAGAAAATTAATAAGGAATGTCTTCAAAGAATAAGACTTGTTGTCCAATTTGATTTAATCTATTAGTGCCTCCCTAAATGAAACTTCTATAATTCTAAAAAATTTCTTTATTTTGTAAAATAACTCGACGATTTAGTTAAAATATATGCAATTTGCTCTTCAATAGAACAATAGTTAATATTTTATTTTTTCAACCAACTTTAGAATCTTATGAAAATGAATATTAATGTGTTTAGATAGTCAATGAAATATAGTATTTTTGCATATAATGAAATTGCAAATTTGTCACAATATATGTGGGTGAGTATCTTGTTTATGATAGATTACTTTTAAAATTCTTCTTAGTCACATTATTTGGGTTGTATAACTAGTTATACCAATGTATTTTGTTTCGACAGTTGAGAGTGCAACAATTCATTGTTTCTTTGAAGACCGTGATATTACATGTATCTTGATGTGTTTTTTTTTTCTTATTTCTACATCTATTGTCCAATCGTTAGCCAACAAGTTTAATTTTACCATTACTAGCATAACAAACTCCTTATTCAAAGTATCTTGGTGTATCCCATAATTCTTTTAAGGATAATGATACTTGAACAACCTCTTTTGACAACATTTAGACACGGGACAGGTGTCTAAATGAGAATGGTCCAAGTGGAAAATCAAAATGAAAATGAAATCTGACGTGGAAAGGGGGTGGGCAGGGTTTTCAAGATCTGCATTTCAAATTTGAAATTGATTTTGGAAGAATTGTAGAGAGAGAAGCGCGAAGGTTGAGAGGGAGACTGTGACCTAGAGAGAGAGGCCGAGAGAGTTGGAGAAAGGGAGTGGTCCGACAGAGTGCTTGCCGGAGTGCCCGCCGGACAACGTTGAAGGGTACCGATTCACGGTCGCCGTTACCGATTCACGGCCGCCGCAGCTCCGATGTTGGCCAACGAAGCGAAGACGGAATCATGTTCCGTCCGGCCCAGCGAAGTAGGGGCGCGTTCAAGGTCTCGCTTCGTCCCACCTCCTTTCGTCCCTGTGCCGGAGTGCCGCCGGAGCATCGCCGGAGCATCGCCGGAGTGTGGACTGTTCGGTGGACGAAAAAGAGGGGTTTTCCGGGTTGTTAGTCCCACCCACACATTTTTCTTCGTGTGTGTTCCAACCGGCACACGTGTTCACTCAAGGTTCGTTTTTTTATTTGAGTGGAATGAATGTATAATATATGTATGATGTTGTTTGTGGATGATTTTGGTTATGTATGATACGTTGTTATTCTAATATTTTTGGATCTTATTTGGTAGTGTAGGTATTGTTGCAATGGAGGAAGTTGATCACGAGGATGAAGTTTATTAAGACAAGAAAAAGGTATGTTGAGTTATATTATATTTTCATAAATTTAGGATTTTTATGNTAGCTAAATAAATTATTAGGTTTGCATGCCATTTTTTTTTCCTTTGACTGCATATTCATTTTCCAGTATACAAACACTACTATTTCGTAGCTAATGAGAAATTGATGAATTCATTCATGTTTAGGAACCAAGTCAATTCAAATGGCGGATTTTTTTATTTCCATCGCAGCAAAGATTGCAGAATATGCGGTGGATCCAATTTTACATCATACTCAATACTTGTGTGGTTTCAACGACTTTGCTCCCAATCTTTCAAATGCCAAAATACGATTGGAATTGACTCGAGATGGAGTGAAGGAGCGAATTAGAAAAGCCATCAATATGGTTGAAAAAGTTGAGCCTACTGTTGAGAACTGGCTGAAAGATGTTGAAAAAGTCTTAGAAGAAGTGCAAATGCTGGAAGAAAGAATATTGAGCGTGAACAAAAGCTATTTCCGAAAGCAATGTCAATATTCTCTTACAAAACAAATAGAAAAGAAAAACAACTGAAATGATTCAGCTCCTTCATAATAGAAAGTTTGAACTGTTTTGGAGGATTACTGAACTTCCAGGAACGAAATACTATTCTTCCAATAATTTCTTTATGTTCAACTCTACAGAAGAATCTTACAAGAAGCTTCTAGAAGCATTAAAGAATAAAAGTGCTTTCATAATTGGATTAGTTGGATTAGGAGGGTCAGGGAAAACTACTTTGGCAAAAGAAGTGGGTAAAAAAGTTGAAGAGATGAAACTCTTTGAGAAGGCTGTCTTGGCAACAGTGTCGCAACCTCTAAATATAATAAGTATCCAAGATCAGATTGCTGATCAATTGAGCGTTGAGTTAAAGGAAGCATCGGAAATAAGTAGAGCACAGAGACTATCAGAAAGATTAAGGAAAGGTACAACTCTTGTAATCTTGGATGATGTATGGGAAAAGCTAAACTTTGAAGCTTTAGGTATTCCATTTGATGAAAACAGTAAAGCTTGTTGCATATTCCTAACAACTGGGAGTAGAGAAGTATGCACTTCTATGAAATGTCAAAATATAATTGAACTTAATCCCTTGACTGACGGGGAAGCTTGGACTTTGTTCACCTTCCATGCAAACATAAGTAATGACTCCCCAGAAGCTTTGAAAGTTATGGCAGAAAGAATCGTTACTAAATGTAACGGATCGTCTACTGCAATTGCAACGTTAGGAAGCACGCTAAAAGAGAAAACCATTGAAGAGTTTGAGTCAGCATGGTTAAGACTGCAAAATTCCGAACGACTTAGTTCTCTAAAAGGCTTAACAAGTCATCAAGTTTGTCTTAAAGTAAGTTATGATAATTTGACAAACCAATTAGCCAAATCCTTATTATTGTTGTGTTCAATATTTCCAAAGAATCATGAAATTGATTTGGAAGATTTATTTCGATTTGGAAGAGGATTGGGCGTAATTTGGAGATTTGGAAGAATTGAGAAAGAAAGGAGGGTGATGCGTGCAGCTATTAACATCCTTAAGAATTCTTATATGTTGGCATATGTCAAAGAAAAAGAAAAGGTGAAAATGCGTGACTCGATTCGTGATGTAGCCTTATGGATTGCAGCTGAAAGTGGTCAAGCAATTTTGACATGTACTGCAGTGGATCCGAGAGTGTTGGTAGATGATGAAATCACGAAAGATAAGAATGTAATAGCCTTATGGGATATGAAAAATGGTGAACTTCTCAACTATGAATGGAATTGTCCATCACTTGAAATTCTCTTGCTTCATTCTCCACAGGTTGGCTTTACAATATCAAATGCTTTTATTGAAAGGTTGAAAAAGCTTAAACTACTGGCATTCTTAAAATTTGAATATAGGTGGAAGTTGCCTTTGGAGACAGAAACTCCATCATGGTACGCTTCACCACTATCGCAATCAATTGAGTCATTAAAAAATCTCAATACTCTTAGCTTGAGAGGTTATAAATTAGGTGACATCTCAGTTTTGGAAAGTCTAGAAGCACTTGAGATTCTTGACTTGCGTGGCTCTTCTTTCAAAGAATTGCCTAATGGAGTAGTAGCATTACAGAAATTGAAACTCCTAGATTTGTACGGTTGTTTGATTGAGAAAAATAATGCTTATGAAGTTATAGGAAGATGTTTGAGGCTAGAGGAATTGTATTTGTATTTGTTTCCATCAAAAGAGGAGTTTCCACATGATGTCTCTTTCTCGAGATTGCAGAGGTATGTTATAATACAATATCACTCTGAATCATTTTCATATTACATACATGCTGACATTTTGGAAAAACATAGACCATCTAGAGCTCTGTGCATAGAAGGTTTCAATGCCTCTACTCAAACTTTCATATCATTACCAATTAAGGATCTCTTTATGAGGGCAGTGTACCTTCATTTGAAGTACATTGAGGGAGGTTACAAAAATGTAATCCCATCCATGCGTTCACAAGGCATGAATCAGATTGTTGCCCTAATCCTTGAACACTGTCTTGATATTGAATTCCTCTTTGATGGAACTTTTACAAACAACAATGTTGATGTGCTTCATACCAAAACTGTATTTTCCAACCTATGTACCGTAAGGTTGCATCAGATGCATGGCCTTCGAGAAGTGTTTCATGACCCTTCTTCACAATGCTCTTTAGAAAAATTAGAAGAGTTGAGCATTGATAGTTGTAACCAATTATACAACATATCCTTCCCAAGGAACTCAAATCTATGCAGTCTAAAGGTCTTGAAAATTCGAAGTTGCCCAATGCTAACTTCTCTCTTCATTCCATCCTTTGCCCAAACTCAAGTGTTTGGTGATAGCTCTTCGCAATGCTCTCTAGAAAATTTACAAGAGCTACTCATATATCATTGTGAGAAATTATACAGCATATCCTTCACTAGGAACTCAAAGCTATGCAGTCTTAAGGAGTTAAGAATAATAAGTTGCCCAGTGCTAACTTGTCTCTTCATGCCATTCATTGTCCAAACTCTGAAGCTGCTGGAGGTTCTGCAAATATATGAATGCAGTGAATTGATGCACATAATTCCAGCAGAAGGGAATGATTATGTTGGTACTCAAGATCATACATCTTTGATGCTCCCAAAATTAAGGATTATTGAGATTGCAGGATGTGACAAGTTGAAATATATATTCCCTGTGTGTTTTGGAAGGCTACCAAGTTTGGAAAGGCTGATCACTAAAAATTGTGACAAGTTGAAGTATGTATTTGGCACTGAAAAGGAACGCCATCTTTCAATGTACCATGAATATCCAGATTTGCTTAATTTGGAAGTTCTCTTGTTAGTTTCCTTACCTAACCTGGTTGACATTTGGCCTTCTTATTGTCATCCACGTTTACCAAATTTGAAAGAGTTACAATGCACTGAATGTTCAACATTGTCTAACTCTTCTTTGAGGAAGATGGCGATTGATTCAGGTTTATACCACCAAGGCGCAGCTGCAATGGTAATATGTTATTTGAAATTGATGTTTCAGAAGTCTAAATTGTTAAGATGTCAACACTGTAATTCATGCTTCAGATTTTATATATTATACACAAAATGGTCAAAACAACTTAGGAATTTATTAAATATAATACCATAATTGAACATGTCTAACTTTTTTTTTTGAAGATGCAATTACTTCGTAAACTAGAATTTTGTTTCTATTTTAATTACTAGGTAGTTATTATATTTAATTGTTAGAATTACAAGCATGAATTTAAGTTTCACATTGTATAAAAATGAAAAGTTAGAATACAGATGAAGATCCGTTAACTCGTTATCTTAATATTTTGGGTTATGAGTGATATTAATTCCTTATGTAATTAAAGTACAGATAATTTTAAGATAAGTCCTAAGGACAAATGTATACAAACTATAGCAATAGAAATGGCTAGTAAACCTTGTTTCATCTTACACTAATTTTTGTGGTGTTAGTTATTTTCTTTTTTGATGACTATAGCATTCTTTCTTTATATTGAAAATTCCATTAAATAAGGGTTTAGGGTTTACACGTAGCAGAGTAATTAACAATGAATTGTGTTGTATGTAGAAGAAACTGCTAGATGAAGCTGCCCTCAAATTCACAAAGCTTATATTTTCTCATCTTGGAGTAAAATGCCTTTTTCAATTCCAAATAGGAGAACCTGGGACCAATAGAGAACTACCCTTAAGGTTATCTACTCTGGACTTGCTGGCTCTACCACAACTCAAATTCATATGGAAAAGCCCCACAAATTTTCTAAGCCTCCAACTGCTTCAATTTTTACATGTGGATAGATGTCCAAAATTGAAATCCATCTTCTTCCTCTGCCATTATTAGAAGCTTACCAGTGTTGAGAAAACTAGAAATACTCAATTGTGAGGAACTGGAGCAAATATTTGATTCAGGGGATGCACAAGAACTCAAAAGTCTATTTACTTGTTCCCAACAAGTGTGCTTCCCTAAACTGGAGCAGATCAAAGTTAAAAAGTGCAACTTGTTGAAATTCCTTTTTCATAATTTTGAGGCTGGCCATTTTCCCAGTCTAAAAATTTTGAGAATACAAGAATGTTATCAAATAGAGAAGTGTTTTTCTTTCGAATGTGAAGCTGATATGGATGATAAAGTGGGGAGGGACAAAGATAGCGAACAAGTTCTGCTACAAAACCTGAGAAATATAACACTCACAAGTTTGCCAAACTTCAAAGAGATTCACCGTGGATTTCAGTTAAAAGATCATGTTGAACAGATCATAGAGGATTGCCCAGAATACTCTCGAATTATGGGTAACATTCTGATAATCTCATGTCTTACTTTTATCCAAAATTACTATTTTCTTTTTTCGGCAGCCAAAATTACTATGCCTTCAATTACCATCTTGAGTGAAATTCTATTTATTATGAAGTTTTTAATTCATGACAAATGCTTTGTGTTTAGAATAAGAGAGAGGCATAAGATAAATCCGGGATGTGTGTAGATCATCTATGGAGTTATGCATTTATAAATAAATAAATAAATAAATACAAAGAGATGAGTCTTACATCTAAGACTCCCCTCACACGATGTATATAAATTGTATCTACTGTTTCACTAATAATTTAGTGAATATATCTACTAGTTAATTATTAAAATTAACAAACTCAATGTTAATTTCTTCAAACACCATATTTTCTTGAATAGAATGATAATTAATTTTAATATGGTTCTTTCATGAAAGATGGGATTTGAGCTAACATGAAGAACAGTTTAATTGTCACATATAAATGTGTGTCATTTAATTTTGAGTGACCTCTCCAAATTTACAATCATTGTTTAAGCCAAATAAGCTCACAAGTAGATGAGGTCATAGTTTTATATTTTATTTCCGCAGTAGATCTAACTATAGCATTTTGTTTTTTCCTCTTTCAAAAGATCAAATTATCACAAACAAAAAAAAATATTTGAAAATGAATCTCTTATTAGAAGGAGTGTCTACCTAATTGGCATTTGAATAACATACAATTTTAGTGTAATTATTGTATTTACAACAAAAATTTTCCAAGATAACCTTTAATGCACTTTAATATGCTGACAATATTTCAATGATCTACACACGAAGATTTAAGAAATTGACTCACCACACTAACTACAAAGGAAATGTCGAGAAGAGTAAATGTAAGATAGTTTAGTTTTCCAACTAATATTTTGTACTTCTCAAAATTTGATAGTGGACCCCCTTATGAGGTGGGAATTTGGTATTGAGATTCATGAGTGTGTCAACATACTTTGAGATGTCGTGGTGACCATTGCTCGTAAGTACAATATCATCAACATATACTACTGTGTAGATACAAGAACACTTAACTGACTCTAAAATATTGAATGACAAACCTCATTGTAAGTCATACCAAGTTCTTTAACAACAATGCTAAATTTGTCAAAATCAAGTCCTAGGAGATCACTTGAGGCCATACAAAGATTTGTGGGGAGACATATTAATCCAGAAGACTCCTCTTAAGCAACAAAACTTAAAGGTTGCTTCATATAAATTTCTCCCTATAAATCACCATTAAGAAAAGAAATTTTTACATTCAATTGACAAAGAGACTAGACATGTCATGCATACCAAGGTAGTTCGCACCTAACCTAAAGCTGGAGTAGAAACCACCAGCTCACTCTACAACTCCCTCACAAGTTAACTCAACTTCTCAACACATGAATGAGAGGCAAAGGAGTGTGTCACTCCATGGCTTTAGCTATTCCAAGAGACTCAATAGAAGGTTGAGGAAAAATAAGGGTTCCCTAGCGTTTAAGAGCCATCCTGATACACCCCATGTGATAGACATACTCATAACATGCATACTTTATATGCACATAAGACTCACTTTCGAAAGACTAGGACCAAGTGAATCCACCAAGAGTCTTTCACTTGTCACAAGCACACCTCATTTACACGAAAAATTTTCCTAGGATGTTGTCATTTAGCAATGTCAGATCCCTATTGGGAGGACCTACTTTACCCAACCCATGTGGTCGAACTTGTATCCCCCTTTTTTCATGTGCAAACTCCTACTATAGAGACGTCCTATAGTTCTCACACCATATTCACCTTTCTCTTGATGATATTGTGTGCCTACACAAGTGAAGATAGCTCTTTTATCTGCCCCTATTCAATTTTCTCATTTACCACCATATAGGGGGTTATCACCCTTAGAACACCCATTAAAGCAGTCATCATAGTATACATAGCATACCTCACACAAGTATCATTTTAACATAAGGTTCAAGCTCTACTTTGCTCAACAACAATCATTGTATATGTGTAATTGTCACAAACCTTACTCTGTAGCCTCTTGCTCAAGCACCTAGGAAGTTTTTGGACTATCCCAACACAACTCAACCTCTAGTCTACACATACACAAATGGCCTTGTACCTTCATGGAAGGAGTTCAAAGCTGTCTCTACCATCATTTAATGAGCACCTCGTCTGGTACCTCACTGGATTGCCACTTGTTTAATACCCAAGGTCGTTTAATAGACCTGGGTCATCTAATAGCTTGAGTCATCTACAAGGAAAAGTTGTCTAATAGTCAAGTCGTTTATAATAGCCCGAGTTTTCTACTAGCCAAGGTCATCTAACAGCTCGAGTCGTTCAATAGCCCGAGGTCATCTGCTAGGTACCTCGTCCGGTGCCATATTAGACTATTAATTGTCTAATAAACCCCTCATTTAACCATAAGGCGTCTAGTTTGATTTTACTCATTGAGTCTTCCCCAACCAAGCAACTCCAAACCACATGCTTCTTCCTTACAATTTTAGACTCACCCATTCTATTTCCTTCTGGTATTCCCCTCATAATCCTACCTTAACAGGTTTTAATTGGAATCACCCATAGTTGACCATTAGAATCCCATATTCAACAATGCACCACATGGTGGCAACCACAAACTAGGTTTGTCTCATCCATACAAAAACATCTTGCAAACAATACATATAGGAACCACTATGTGCTTAACATATCACCATGTTCTTAACATACCAATATACATTCCATCACTTATCTTCATAATACTTAAAACTATCTAATAGGGTAAATATTATCATTTATACAACATATCAACATATTGTTCATAACATTATCATCACTTTTCACCAAACAAAAACATTGAAGCGCTAAACAACCATTGCTAGGTTCCCTTGCCTTTCAAACTCATTTTCTACCAAGAACACAACACTGCTACTAGCTCACCAAAGCTTCCTCTCAAGTAGACATTCCTTAAATAGACTCTAAGCACCAACAAGCTCTTACATTATGACTCAAAAATCATAATCAACTCTAACGAAGAAAAGACATGGAGAGAAGAACGTAGGAATGAGACATGCTACTAAGTTCCCTTGACCTAATATGGCTGATATAGCCTTTTGAAAGGGACATCATAATACTTTTGGTTTGCTTTGCATATTCCCCCAATAGAAAGCAAAATTGTACCATAGTATTGTTGGGGTCAATTTTATCCTCAAAAAGGACAAGGTATAAGAGTGTCAAACCTTATTTTCTTTCCATATCTTTTCTCTATCTTCCTTGTGTCTCTCCTTTGTCTCTACACTCATCTTTATCTAGGCTTAAGGCCTCTGCATTACCATTGCCACGAGAACCCTTTAATGTGATTTTGTGTTTCAAATCCTCACTCTTTTAAACTCTAATTGTGTATTATACTATAGAAGAGATAATATTTTCTTACCTAAAGCATGAAGCATCTATGAAATTCCTAAAGTTTTGCCCTTCATGGAGTAATTTCTTTAATAAATGGTTGTAGATTTTATGAGAATACAATATCAAAATCCATGCAACAACTCTGAAAATTGATTGAAGAAATTAATCATATTTATGGAAATAATTTATTCAACTTGAATATCCCATTATCCCATATTATTTTACATATTTGGGAAGTCGCCAACACTCTCTCACTTTCTCCATTTATCCCATTATCAATCAATATAAGAAACTAAATACAAGAACCATGGTGACAGGTCCTCTAAATTTGAGTATTATTTCTCATGCATCACAATATATCAAATTTCTCATCAAAGACTCCTAAATATAATGAATAAATCATATGTTTATTCTGAGTCAAATAAAATGAAATTTCTCAAAATAAACAAATATATGCAAAATAAAGGAGAATAACGAAATATGAGTTTTATGAAAGTAAAATTAATGATTGTCAGAACATGGAAGTAGGTCCAATTTTCATTAAATGATCCTTAAAAAAATTTAATGGCATGCCTTTAGTTAAAGGATTGATAAGCATTAACTCAATACTAACATGCTCAATGACCACTTTCTTTTCTTTAACATATTCTTTTAGGGCTAGATATTTAATTATGTACTTACTTTGACTTCCACTTCTATTAGCCATAAATGTCATAATAGAGTTATTATAATATAACTTCAAAGGCCCAACAATTGAACCACAACTCTAAGCCTAGATATCAAAATTTTCATTTATGTCATATAAGGTAGTTATTAACACAAAACAGTAAGTGCACCATTCCCACGAATAAAGTAATAAGTATTTATCATTCTCTCCCAAAGAATTTATGCAACACTTGATAACTCTAACATTTAATAACTCAATTAGACAAAAAAGTCAAGAAAATACACAAAAACTCTGGTATTTTCATCAAATAGTTAGTGCACAACAGAAAATAACACAAAGTATTTACAATTGTCAAAACTATATTTCATTCACTTCATTCTCATGCATTCACAATCATCTCAATGTTAGTTTCACGTCACAATCAACTCACAAATATATTCAAAATCTACCTCTAGTGACTTTGAGTCTATGATTACTCATTAAGTTTCAATTCATTGAATACTCAATAAGTGAAATCATATATTAAGTTCAAAGTTCTTAAGATTACTAATGGATCATGTTTTATTCCTAGATACAATCTCCATTAGATATTTTACTTTCAAGTCTAGGTTTAAAAGACATTTTTCAACATCTCAAGAATCAACAATCAAGTCATGGGTAATCAAGTCACAACATGCATTAAACATAGAAATCAAACACTAACATTGAAATGAAAAATCAAATGTATTAAGATCATAAAATACACAACAACAAAATTCTTTGATTTATCAACAAAATTTTATCAATAAAAACAAATACGTGAATAAATTTAAATTATCAACAAATTTTATCAACAAATTTATTGTGAACAGTTTTTAATACATATTTCATTTAGTAACAAATTTCTCTATCAATAAATAAAATATATATTATCGACGAATATTTTTATCAATAAAATTCAAAATATTTACATTTAATATTGTATGGTATAATAATATGTTATCATATTCTATTATATTATGATGAAATATCTACAAAGTATTTATGGTTAATATCTTATTATATAATAATTTATTATTATATTCTATTATATCTTTAAAGTA